GGCAGGGAAGGCCGGATGGTGGTGCTATCCTTGGTCTTAGGGCTTTCGGAACAGGATGACTTTGCCAATATCCCTGACCTGCAAAACCCAGGAACCCAGCAGAACCAGAACGCTCAGGGGGACAAGAGGTACGAGCACAGGCGAGGGCCTGCGGCGGCGGTGGCAGCAGAGACGGAGGCACGGAGCAGCCGCCTGCCTCGACCGGCCCGGCTGCTGGACGAGGCGGTGGTGCCTTCGGTGGACGCTGGAGTGGGAGGCCAAGCCCCCCTCCCCGGCCGGTGCCCTCGCACACGGCCACCTTGGTGGTGTCCCTTGGGTCTGAGGCCCCTCGTGGCTATCCTGGGACCATTCTGGATCAGGCCTGCTGCCTGGCATGCTTGCCCTGGCCTGGAGCAAGCCCAGCCTCGCCTGTCCCATCTTCCTGCTTGGTTCCCTCTGCCTCTCTTTCCATCTTCCATCTCTATCCCCACCCTGGCCGGAAATCCCTGTTTCTCTGGTGGTTGGCGGGCGGGGGGGATGTCAGGGAAGGGACACCAGCCTGTCCTCCCTCATCCCCGCCCCCTCAACCTCCCTCTTGCCTGGAGGTCCTGTCGGGCTGCTCGGTTGGTGGGAGAGGAGCCTGTGGGGGGAGGGTCTGGGGTGTGGGAGAGTCCTGGGGTCCAGAAAAAGCCAGAAGGGCAGCCCCCGAGCCCGGGCACCTGGAAGAGGGAGTCCAGGGAGAGGCCCGGAGTGGCCGAGGCAGAGGTCACTGCTGCTGGCCCTCAGGCCCTACAGAGGCCAGGAATAGCCTGTTGGCCACTGCACTGGCCAAGCAGTGGCCTGGGCATTAAGACCACCGTAGCCTCTGCCATCAGGAATTCAGGGAAGTGTCTCCTGCTGTTCCTTGTCTCTGGGAGGGGGCAGGGCATTGCTCATGGGGAAGGGGAAAGGGCTGGAGGTCCCGGGGCTCAGGCAGCATCGAACAGTGGGGGCCACTGGGTGCCTGGTTTGGGCACCTGCCCCCTCCTGCCCTTAGGCTGGCTGACCGTACACCTGTAGTCTCCAGGATGGGAGGAGGGCTTGTCACCTTGGCCAGGTTGGCTCCCATCAGACCAGAGGCCTCTGCGAGAGCGTGTGGCCTCATAGCCAGGGCACCTGCCTTCTAGCTCTGGTCCCTCCCAAGTCTCACTCTGCAACCTTGGGCAAGTCACAGTCCCTCTCTGGGCCTCTGCTTCGTTGCCTGTCTGAGGAGGGACCGGACAGGGTGACCTCTAAAGAACAATCCTTCCAGCTCAGACATGTCAAGCTTCTCAAGAGGAGAATGGCCCTTGTGCCCTTGGTCTGGGACATGTGTCAGATCCTAAGAGCTGGGCAGGGACTGTGTAGGGATGAGCGGCCCTAAGGCTCATGAAAAGGCCCTTAGGGGCAGGAAGGGGCTGTCCCAGGCTGCTGGGCACAGGTTAGGGAAGGGTGGCTAGGCGGAGTTAGATGGCTGGCTCGCAGGTCACTCTGGTGGCCTCTGGAGACCAGCCACCTCACTCTCTTCCCATCCCAAGTTTGCATGTCGATGGTGGGCAAAGCTGCATGTCACTGGAAGGTGGGACCGATTCTTTCACTCAGTGGCACTGACGCTATCTGGCCCTGAGCCCATGTCTAGGGGCATGAGGGGAGTGGAGCCTGCCACCCCCAACCCGTCTGGGTCCTACCGGAGCTGTGACTTCCTGGACCAGGACCTCACAACCGGGCAGCAAGGCAGCCAGAAGGCACAGGGAGGGCTGGGGGCCACGGGTGGGGCGAGAGAATGCAGAAGGTGGGAGGCCCTGAGGACCCTGAAGTTCTGAGCAGCTGAGGCCCCTGCGGGAAAGGTGCGAAACGCGAGGAAGCAGATGCAAGCTGGAAACGAGATTTCACATCCCCCATGTGTTGATTAACCGGCTCCATTGTCACCATAGCCAACTTTTACCTCCCTGTCGACTGGGTCTCACTCCACATTTTCACATGCCGACCCTTCCGATCCATCACATCAGCTTGTCCCCTGCTGCCTGGGAAAGGTGGGGTGGAGGTGGAGGCCGAGCGCCCCGCCCCCACCGGCCTGGCTTTCCAAGTGGGCACAGGCCAGCCCACCAGCCGTGCCCACCCATCCCAGGAACTCACTTCCCATGGCCGCTGGGGTGTCTCCCAGGGGGTGGGCCACCGTGGGGTCCAGCATCCAGTGCTTCCTTCCCGGCAGACTCCCCCTTCAAAGCGTGGCATCAGCACCTTTCCCCAGGCACCAGCACCCTGGGGTGCCACCCCCTGGGCTCCTGGGTCCTCAGGCCATGGAGTGGTGGCTTTGGGCCAGGTGTCCCCCTTTGGCCTTTCCCTCCAAACCCAGGGTCTGCCCCAGCCCCACCCTTTCCCTCTCAGCTGAACCTCTGGCCTGATGTCTCTGGAAGAAGGGGTGGTAAGGTTGCCGGGGGGGGGGCAGTCCACTTGGGCTTTTGGCAACAGCCAACAGTGGACACAAGCCTCGTGGGACACAAGGCTCCATGGGGGCGGGGGTGTGGCCACTCCGAGTCCCAAGCAAGGCGGGAGTGTGTCCAACAAGCAGCTGGAGGGTCAGTCACTGCCTTCATCCCCACGATTCTTGGTGTCCCCAAAGCCCCTCCACCCAGGATCCCCCAGCCTCTGGGTCTCAGCACAGAACTGCAGCGCTCTCTGGGCCTGGAGGGAGGGAGGGAGGCCCAGCGGCCCAGGCCCCCATGCCCTGCCATTCCATTCCACCCTCACTCATCTGCCCCGAAGCCACCCCATCATGCTGTCCGCCATCCTCCCGCCATTGCTCCTTGGGATCCAAATGGTTTCCACCGTGGCCCACCCCCACCCCGAGTGGGGGGCGGGGCAGGGCGGGGACCAGGCCACCCCCATTGCTCTCTTTGCTCCGAAGCCACCATGTTCCTCTGTCACAATGTGTGTCCCCCACCTCCTCTCTGCCTCTCCTGTCAGCCGCACGCACCTCCCTGTCCCCTCGTCCACCCGGCAGCCCCCACATGTCTCCAACTAACTTTTCTTGGCTTCTCTCTCCCTCTATCTCCTTTCTCCCATCTGCTCCTCACAGGGCTGCCCCGGGCCGGTGACAGGCCCCTCGGCCTCCCCCTCTGCCTCTGTGCCTCTCGCCTCTGTCTCTCTGTCCTGTGACCTCCGACAGCTGCCGTGGCGCTGACCATCTTTCCCAGATGCTTGGCAGCCGTGCCGACGCTGTGGCACGGCCACAATAACTCTGACTTTCTCATACCTCCAGCAGTCACCTCGCGCTCCCCTCCCGCCCTCCTTCTAACCTGACTTCACCTCTTCAGCTGTGTTGGTCTCCTCTCCCTCCCCGTGCCTGTCTGCGTGTGTCCGTGTGCGTGCGTGCGCCGATGTGTGTGCCTCTGGGAGGGGTGCCCCATGTGTCGCCAGGTGGGGCGGGCATTTCTGTGTCGTCAAGGCAAGGCCGGGCTTCCACAGCAAGTGTATCGCGCATCTGATCATCGGGACGTCTGTCCCTGACACCGCTCCCTGCATTTCCTGTTTCAGTGTGCTCCCATTCACATGCACACGCGGCATGCCTGAATCTCCCCGAATGCATTTCCTCTCTGGATCTAAGTGTCCCTGTCACTGTATGTGTGTCATCACGGCTGAGCTGACTGACCTGCCCGTGGCACTGTCTCCTTGCACCTCTGGGTGTCTACGGGGCTCGTGTACACACGTGTGTGTGTGTGTGCAAGCCTGTGTGTGTGTGTCTGTGTGCTGTGTGTGCACCCCCTGCGGTGGGGTCCCGGTGTCTCCTCTCCAGGGCCCGGCATATTCCACGCATGTTTGTCTGTGCCTGTCATGGCCGCCTGTGTGCTGGTGGCTGGTCCCTACCAGAGGGCCGTGGCTTGTGTCCGGCCCTAGCGTGTGGCTCCTGGTGTCCGTAGCCCTGTGCTCTCAAAGCTGCTCTGTTTTAGCCTATCCTGAGCCTCATGCTGCCAGTCCTCTGTCACCTCCTCACTGCCTGCCCCCAGCCCTCTTTCTCCTCGTGGGACGCTCCAGCCTGGTCCCGGGCAGGCTTTTCGCGCCCCCTTCCTGAGACCCAGCTGAACGGAGCCTGGGCTCGCCACCCAGCTCCTGGGCCAGAGGGCCTAGCACCCTGGGAGCCGGGTGCAGACAGGGCTTCCCGGTGGTGCCCGTCTTTCTGTGACCCTGGTGAGAGCCTTTTCCGACGTGCAGTGCTCAGAGTCGGATGGGGGTGGGCACTGGGGAGGTAGGGGTGAGGCTCGCCCTCTGCAGCACGGGGCAAATAAGCTCCATGAGTTTGCATTCAGTAGAGCTGAAGATTGAGCTCTCCGCTGCCATGGCCATGCCACAAATGCTCCATTGTCATGTGTGGCTAGCAGCCACTGCACTGGACAGCACAGATCTGCGATGTTGCCGCCGCAGACAGTTCTGCTGGACAGAGCTGTGTGGACAGCGGTCTGGACCCCACCTGGCCAGTCTCATGTCCAGAGGGTGGGACGAACACCTGTGCGCTCGTTCAGCCTGAGCAAACACAGGTGGGGCTTCAGAAGACAGACATTCTGGGTGTGTTTGCAGAGGTTAATGATGCGGAGAGGCACCTAGACACTCCACACCATGGGAGCCTCTCGCAGGCCTCCCGTTCTAGGCTGGGGACAAGTAGGCAGGATCAGGCCTCTGGGAGGGGCAAGTTCGAGACCATCTGTGCAAGTCACCAGAGGGTGGGGGGTTTCTGGGGAACAGGAAGGGGGAGGCATCCCCAATACAGACTCCACAGGGCTAGCTAAGCCAGAGTCACTTGGGACAGAGGTCGAAAGGAGGATGGGCCCCGAGTGCTGGTCTCCAGGGAAAGCCAGGCCTCCCTGTGGACGAGAGTGACGCTCCTGCCAGCCTGCAGAAGGTGGTGTACTGCTGGGGTCCTCAGAAAAGGTCCTGCCACGCCAAGGCCAGGCGCCCAGCCCAGCGCATCTCCCAGCCTGAGCTCATCAGGAATCCCCCTACCCCAGGTTGCCTGCAGGAGGGAAGGCGGTGAACACAGCCCCGGTGCCGGGCCAGACGCCCCACGATGAGTCTGACCGCCGGACAGAGCCACGCTCCTCCGTCTCGGACCTCGTCAACTCCCTCACCAGCGAGATGCTCATGGTGAGAAGTGGGGAGCCTGTGCCCCGTGGGGGTGTTGAGCAGGGAGGTTGGGGATAAGGGGATAGGGAGGGGAACGTGTGGAAGCGGGAACAGCATGGGAGTGGTTCGCTCGGGCCTGGGTCAGAGGTGGCCAGGAGAGCTATAGGCCCAGCATGGTGACTGCTCAGTTCTTGGTGACTGAGCACACCAGGCCTGGGTTCTTTTCCCTACTCTTTCACTGAAACGTTCTCTCTGTGCTTCTGTTTCCTCATTTGTCAAATGAGAATAAGAATTTCTATTCTCGGCCAGGTGTGGTGGATCACGCCTGTAATCCAAGTACTTTGGGAGGTCAAGGTAGAAGGATCGTTTAAGACTAGGAGTCTGAGACTAGCCAGGACAACAGAGAGACCTCATCTCTACAAAAAATCAAAAAACTTAGCTAGACATGGTACAGAGCGCATGTAATCTCAGCTACTTGGAAGGCTGAGATGGAAGGATCGCCTGAGCCCAGGAGGTTGAAGCTGTGGTGAGCCGTGCTCGTGCCACTGCACTCCAGCCTGGACAACAGAGTAAGACCCCGACTCCAAAAAAATGTTTCCATCCTCCTTTGATCCCCTTCTGGATTGAAAAGGGGCCTAAGGCTGGGCGCAGTGGCTCAAGCCTGTAATCCCAGCACTTTGGGGGGCTAAGGGGAGAGAATTGCCCCAGCCCGCGGGTTCTAGATCAGCCTGAGCAATATGGTGAGACCTCGTCTCTACAATAAATAAAAAAATCAGCCGGGCGGGGTAATGTGCGCCTGTAGTTCCGGCTACTTGGAAGGCTGAGGCAGAAGGATTGCCGGAGCCCGGCAGGTCGAGGCTGCGGTGGCCGGGAGCGGCCACTGCACTCCAGTCTGGGCGACCGG